CTCCCTTCCCTCATTATTGTAAGCCGCCCTGAGTCCCCTCAGGGAAAAGGGCGGTCTATAAGTGTTCAATAAACTGAAACTAAACTGAAACTGAAACTGCATTGCAGCAGAAGAACTTTATCCCATCTGTGAAACATGGTAACATTATCATGCTTTGGGGGCCGCCTTTGCTGACTTTGGACCAGGACAGCTTGCCCTCATTGGTAGAACTATGAATTCTGAATTGTATCAGCAGGTTCTACAGGAAAGTGTCAAGGTATCTGTCTGTGAACTGGGTCATTCATCGAGACAATTGAAAACACATGTCATACAACCAAAAAATGGTTAAAGCAGAAGAAATTCATTTTCACCATTTTCCTCAATAAATCAGTGAATAAGTATGCTCTTGACTCATTTGTTTTTGACTCATTTGTTTACTTTGATTCGCTCTGTCTAATTTTAGCACTAGTGTGAAGAACAAATCACCTTTTAGGACATATTTATGCAGAAATATTGAAAAATATTGAAATACTGAAAATTCAAAAGGGTTTGCAAACTTAAAAAACACTGTATATCTACAGCTTCGAGAGCCTTCACTACTTTGGAAATTGTTAATTTAGTTGCTTCTCATTTTTCAAATGGGATGTTTCTAATTTAGATCTCTCATCTGCTATTTTCATGGGGATTTGGATAAGTAACTTTTGTTTTAATCTCACCTGACCAGATTATTTATCTGAATAAAAAATAGATGTAAATAAGTTAATATCTTTTAAAAGGACACCTGAAAGTTTAGTGAAAAAATTGATAACTCTCTAAATAGTTTCCTTGCTTTAGATTTTCACTTAATGTCATTTTGACATTATTAATACCAATTTTGTATGTTTAGATGGCAAACTGCTTATTGTTTCTTTCTTTCTTAGAGAGGATCTGACGAACTTCTTTCAGGCAGTGTACTCAATAGCCCGAACTCTAATATGAGCAGCATAGTAGTTACTGGTAAGTGATGCATTTTAAAGGATCATTGTTATTTGAATATCAAAATATATCCATCCTGAAGAATAGATTAAAATATATGGCAGAAAGAATATTCATGATGCCATTTGAATAATGACACACTAAACTTTGAAAACAAAACAAAACCAGCAATAAATGCCTCAATTAAACTCATGTGATGTGCACGTGTGTGTATATGTGTATAAATGAATTGGAAAAAATCTTTCATTCTGTGTGTTTTAAGGCAGGATAACAAATGGAAGTTTCTTCAACAATCTATTTGAAATTATATTATCTTATTCTTCCTTTGTCACAGCCTGACCTACAATTGTTATTTAGCTACAATATTCAGGTAGTCCTTGACTTACAACAGTTCATTTAGTGACCATTTGAAGTTACAATGGCACTGAAAACTGACTTATGACTGTTTTTCACACTTAAGAACATTGCAGCATTCCCATGCTCACGTGATCATAAGTCAGATGCTTGGTAACTGACTCATATTTATGGCAGTTGCCATGTCCCAGTGTCATGTGATAACCTTTTAAAATCAAAGGCAAAGTCGGTGGGGAAGCCAGATTCATTTAACAATTTTTCTACTAATTTAATAACTGCAGTGATTCACTTAACAACTGTCAAGAACAATCATAAAATGGGATAAAATTCACTTAACAATTGTCGCACTTAACAGAAATTTTGGGCTCAGTTGCAGTTGTAAGTCGAGAACTACCTGTATTACAGAAAATTAATGCTGAAATTTACCTATTTTCCTTCACGCTCTCCAGACCTGTTACTCTTTTATCCCTTTTACTGCGGTATTTCTATTCTACTTTTTCTGCCACATACAAGAATATATTAAATGTGCAATCAAAAAAACGTATGCCCTTGAATAATTATGTACGTTTTTCAAATAATATTAAAAGGACAAGTTCCCAGGATTTTCATACTCAGATAATATCTTGCTTGAGCATCTAGCAACTTTGCAATCAGTGTGTTGAAATCTTAGTGTTTTCCTTAATTATGCATTAATGTTCTTAATTATACATTAAGGTATATTTTCACTTTATTTGGTGCTTCTATTTATCCTAAATTTGACAGGTAGCATTAGAATTTCTTTTAGTTTTAAGTTATCCTGGGACTTTTTGCTGAGAAAGTAGTAATGAACAAATGAACTGAAACTAGAGTATAATGAAATTAGGAGAGAAGATATTCTTGGATGGCATGCTTACAATAAGTAGGTAATCTTTGATTGGACAATAACCTGCACAAGGATATCTGTTTCATTCTTGTTGTATATGATGGGATTATGTGCTATTTGTGTGTGTTTGTGTGTGTGTGTTTGTGTCTGTTTGCTTTCAAGTCAGGGATGACTCCTGGTGACTGCCTAGACAAGTCCTGTAATTTTCTTGTCAAGATTTCCAAAGTAGTTTGACATTGCCCGCTTCCTAAGATTGGTGAGTGTGACTGGCATGAGGTCACCCAGTTGGTGTCATGCCTAAGGCAGAATGAGAACTCATGGTTTCTCTATAGTTGATGGAGACAGCATCCAGGACTGAGTTAACTCTGTCTGTCATCCAGTAGGACTGAGTCTGCAATCTGTGATGACACTCCTCCTCTGGTAGCTCCTCCTAGCTTTTAGACTTAGTCTATCTTAGGACTAGATGTGTTTTTCTCTCCTCACTTACATTTCTACAACAATAACAACTTCTATCTTCAACAACTTGAGGCTTGCTCCCTTTAAAGATCAGGTTAGAGCAGCCTTTCAATCCAGCAACCAGGGCTTCAGCCTCATTCAGTGGCAATTCGGAACGCTGACCCTAGGACCACAGGAAACGCTGTGTAGCAGTCCCGATGAGGCCTCAGCCTCAGGCCTCCAACAGCAACAGATGCCATTTTGCTTCACCGAGGGTAACAGGCACCATTTTGAAGAGGCACAAATACAACGGGCACCATTTTGAGGCACAGTTCAGCATCGGCAGCCATTTCAGGACCTCTGGATTCAGGCCTGCAAGGAAGCAAGCAGCCCCTCAGTCACCGTCCAGAGGGCACTCTAAGAAGGCCTCTAAGGCCATGGAAAGGGCGGAAAGCCAGAGCCAGAGGGCCCGAGACCAGGAATTTGCCAAAGCCCAGAGGAAAGCAGCCAGAAGTATTCCATGGAGCAGGTCAGCCCCCACCCCTTCACAGAGCTGCCCCTCATTTTTGACAGCTCCTAGCAGGTCAAGATGTCACCCGGCAGTGAGGAGGAACTTTCCTTATCCCACCCTGAGGAAGGTGCAGATTTCTTTGGCACTCCACCCACCAGACAACAAATATCCAGGCATAACAGCCCCATTCCGGAGGCCGTCTTCATTCTGATGGCAGCAGGCCTCTGCCTTCAGAGACTGTACATCTGCCCAACATGGGGGCCATTATCACTGAGGCCATCAGATGGGATTGCTGCAGGCCTGCAACATAGAGCCTCTTCTCAGGTATCAGATAGGCTCAAGTCTTCGGAAGGCCGAGGACCCCCAGGGGCTCTTGCCCCACGTGGATCACCTTTCCTCAGTATCCCCCAGTCAGACTTCCCTATCGGGGAGGAAGAGGCTTGCAGGGACTCAGACCTGTCTGAGGACGAGGGGCTGACCCCTGACCAACCTGCCTTCATGGGCCTCTTTCGGCCCTCCTTATTCAGATACCTTCTTTTCAAGGCTAGGTGGCCAATATGGGAACTAGTCAACCAAAGCAGGAGACCTGGCAGACCCACATCTACATTAGGAGAACCTCTTCGCTGAGACACACAGGAGCCTTGTTCGTTTCCTTTCAGCCAGCCACAATGGGCAACAAGGGAACCCCATCCGCTCTGGGTTGCCGGATCAGGGCCTGCATTGCGACAGCTTTTGAATCGTGGACCTTGCCACTACCAAGACACATTACAGCCCACTCCACCAGGAGTGCAGCCACGACCGCGGCGTGGGCAACACAGGCCTCGATAGAAGAGGTCTGTCGAGCCGCCACCTCAGCCTCTCCATCATCGTTTATCCGCCATAACAAGTTGGACAAGTTATACACACACACGTATACTGATTGCTTTGATATGTACATGATCACATTAACAATTTAATGTGATCAAATCCTTACATTGTTCCTTATTAAATTGAAACAAGCTTGGAGTGTCCCCATGATTGCTATAATTTTCTATAAAATACGTTTTGTTCTTCCTTTCTTACTCTCTTTGTCTACATTCTGAATTCAGACATATCGGTATATCTTTTCCACCTGTTGTTGGAAATTTGTATTAAGCTCCCTAGTTTTCCCAAGATTTCCTCTGGCTTTTGCCAAATCTCAGCATGAGGAACCATAATGTATCTTCAGTTAGCAGACAGTGGGATGACCAGATTACCTATAGTATAAGTGGGATTTAGACCAAATAATATGTAGTCGCAGATCACAAGTGGCAGTGTCATTAGGATGTGGTGAACTATGGAGACCAATGCAGTTCTACCAAATGTCCTAGAAATCTAGTCACAGCATTTTTAAAATTGCAGCCCATCTCCCTTACTGCAGGCAACACAGCATGTTGGCATAGATCCAATGTGAAATAAATCAGATGAGATTATAACCAAGCATCCACAAGTGAGGCCTCAGCAATTCTATCAACTGGCATCACGAAGAAGTATAGTAACACTATTTTAAGATCACTTTCCTAGTTTATCAAGTGTTAGAAAAGGAGTGTTTCTTCTTTCACAGTTAGTCTTCAGAGGGAAGCTAAATTGTATCTAACATCAGTATGCTTTAGTTCTAGATTCCTTCAGCAGGAGTTGGGACTAAGTAATTTACTGATCCTGATTTATACATTGGCTCTGTGCTTTTTGCTCTAGCATGCTGCCAGAGAATTAAGTATGTATTTTTGATCATTTCTACTGTAAAAAAAGGACCAAGACCAAGATTCGGTTACTTATTTTAAAAGTATACAATCCACATACCGTATTTTTGGACTATAAGACACACAGGTGTATAAGACACACAAAGATTTTGAAGAAGTAAGTAAGAAAAAAAGTTTTTGCCTTCCCTCAGCCCCCAGCAGCACTCTGCAGGCTTCAGCAGGGCTGGGACAAGCCCAAAAGGTCCCAGTTTTTGTGAAAAATGGCCTGTTTTTCACAAAAACGGGGGCATTTTTGCATTGCCCTAGCCCTGCTGTAGCCTGCAGAGTGCTGCTGGGGACTGAGGTAAGGCAAAAAAGCCTCTGTTTTTGTGAAAAATGGCCTGTTTTTCACAAAAACGGGGG